ATTGAGATTGTAGTCCATCACAGGAGCAAGCTTGGAGCGGTGGAAAAAAATAGTGTGGTGTGCAATATAGTGAAAAGGAAAGTGTAAAATTATACAGCAATGAATGCAGAATTGCACCGGCTATAGAGGACTACAAATCCCAGCAATAGTACATTATACAGCGCAATGCAGAATATCACCAGCTATAGAGGACTACAACAAATCCCAGCAATAGTACATTATAGCTGGTGGTATTCTGCATTGCGCTGTATAATGTACTATTGCTGGGATTTGTAGTCCTCTATACAGTGCAGTGCAGAATATCACCAGCTATATAGGAATACAACAAATCCCAGCAATACATTATACATACAGTGTATAATGTATTGCTGGATGTGTATTCCTATGTATAATATACAGCACAATGTACCATAAGCTATAGAGGAATACAAATCCCAGCAACACATTATAGAGCACCATGTGTGGGAAGTGCAGGCTTACCTGAGCAGTCTTCCAGCAACTTGCTTCTGAGATCGGACCTGTCTATCAGCGGCTGTCATCCCCCCACACCTGCTCCTCCTTACTACATCTCCCCGCGTCCCTGTGCCAATCGTGGATGTGGGCGGGCGGTGAGTGTGAGGCGGGGAGGAGGTGCGGCGTGGATGCGGGCGGGCGGGTCTGGCAGCGGCGAGCGTGAGGTGGGGAAGAGGTGCGGCGCGCAGCGTGTGTGGAGCCGTGAACAGGGCCAACTGATCGGAAGCCGATTAATCGATTATTGAAAAAGTTGACAACTTTTTCAATAATCGATTATAATCGATTATGTCGATTAGTTGTTGCAGCCCTAATACACACATGATTACATGTAATTCTTTTTGACACAACAAATGTTCAAAAATGATTTTCCCTGAACTTCATCTTTAAAGTGTATGTATCAATGGCTCACTTTAGCAGAACTCAGGATTCTGTGATCCAGTTTACACACTTCCATGCAGCACCCACAGCAGTTATGTGTAAGATCTTCAGGTGCTCCTCTCTGATTGAGGAAATTAAGTCACTTATTCTGAAAGTAGGTGGCAGAGTGATCTCCTCTAACTTCCTGTTGTGTCACAAGACAGGAAGTGAAAAAAACACCTTTTAGGGTTTTAAACACTCCCTACCCTATTCAAAGCAAAGAAAAGGGTTTTGCTTTAGAAACAATTTCTAAGTACAGTCTTTGCCACACACAAGGCTGGCAGTATATTTGTTGCTGATATCCTGTCTTAATGCGCAGCTGTATTGCAGAAAGCAGATGTACCCCTTTATATAGGACAGACAGTAGTACCTGGTCATCTGGAGCATACCGATTGGGGAGATTATCAAATATCCTGTAAAATAATTTTTTTGAGGGTGCCTCTTTCTAGATGCAAAATATGCAAAGAGTTTTTTTGGATTTATAAACTGCAGACAAGAGTCCTAAATCATTATGGAACACAAACCAATTCCAGATTGCATTTTACCACTTCAAAGAGCAGTCAGTAAAGTGATCTAACCTATAACAACAAATTAGTAGGCATCTTTCATCCTTCTAACTGCTCTAAACTGAGAGAAAGTAAATTCTAATTAGTTGCTTAGGGTTACTCATTTCCCCACCCCCATCCCAAGATATCGGCTTTGCATTTTGGCAGCACTGCACAGCCTCCTGTCAAAACCATCCTGGCCAATGTATTCGCTATAAGCTCTTCTTTGGACCCTATTAGGGGTTTGTACTCCATCAGAGCAATGAGTACAAACTCTCCATAGGGTTCAATGTAGAGCTCAGTGGAGTAGCTTCAGTGGAGAGTGTACAGCACAATGTAGGATGCTGACAAGAGGCTGTGTGGTGCCAATGAGCTGCACAGCAAATGTCATGCTGGATCAAGAATAGGTACTGTAAGTACATGATTTGAAGGGGCAGGGGTCCGCCGCAGAATGTGTGTAATCACACCAAAGATGTATACTTTAGTAATATGCAGTATACTGATATACTGTATGTATTTATGCATTTGTATTAATATATGCAAGCAGCACTGGGGGTCCCAAGTTCAAATCTCGGTCAGGACATTATTTGCAAGGAGTTTCCATGTTCTTGCTGTGCTTGCATGGGTTTTCTCCCACACTCCAAAGACATGCTGGTAGGTTAATTGGCTCCTGTCTAAATTGGCCTTGTATGTATGCATGTAAGATAGGCCCTTCGATTGTAACCTCCTTGAGCGTAGGGACTGATGTGAATGTGCAACTATGTAAAGTGCTGCATACATTTTTGGCGCTATATAAATACCTGCAATAAATAAATATACATTTGTGTATAAGTAGGCCTTGACCAGACACAGAAATCAATACACTCCTCCATGCTGTACTATCTGAATGCATGTATTATCAGTACCTAAATGCAAGATTAAGAATGGAGCCCACTGAAAAAGGAAAAGGATATGAAGATTAAAAGGAAAGAAGAGGAAGGGTGAAAAAAGCATGTCTACAGTATTTTATTTATAGGCCTATTGGTGGTACTTCCACATATTCTGTAACAGTATGCAGTTCAGTTATATATGTGGTATCCAGGGTGGACACTGATTGCAATATTTGTAGTCAGCAGGGATTTATTTCCCTTTCAGGCATAATGTGTCAGAAATGTATCTGGGGTTTTCTTAACCTTCCTCTAGATCCAAAGAGCAGTGATTCCTGAAGCAGGCCTTAGGGGACCTCATAAATTGGTGAATTAGTCCAAATCACTGCACTTTATTTGGGACTTCCCAAAGTTGCAAACTTTTGGAAAATTATTTTGACTGCTATTCTTCTTATTGCTAAATAATATTATTCAAGTAAAAAATGATAGCATTATCTATATCATGTTTCTACATTTCACACACACAAATAATCAAGACTCCTACAATATTGCCAGTCCAACACAGGCGCTTGGGGTTTGAATGAAAGTAGGTGATTCTGTATTACTTTTAGATTTTGGAAATGTAAAGACAAACCCAAGATGTCTGCTATTGCCAGAAAAGTAGATTATGTGCCCCTTTCTCATTTATTTCACTTTGCTACCGGAGCTTGACTACACCTGACTTCATGGCTAAACCCTGCCAACTGGTATTCCACAATACGGCCCTCACTGGACAGTTGGTGAATAAGAGCCTTGCAGTAGGGGAAAGTTAGGAGCCAGTAACTAACTGAACTAAATTATTTGATCCTTGGTGAGCCCCCTGAACTGATAGGCTGGGGCAACTGTCCCTTTTGCCCATATTGTTAATATTGCCCTGGCTGTGCCATTGTACCCACTCATGTCAGAACCCACGGCCACCATGGGCTTAAATATAAGATTGTTAAAGTACCGCAGCGCTGAATACTGAAAAATGGCCTGGATGGGAAGGGGGTTTAACACCGCGGATGTCAACTGGTTAATAAAGGCCATTTTTTTCTGTTCTGCTATGGGAATCCTTTATCATGTATTAAATCCATATATGTAAAACAAACATTTTAGACAAAGTAAAATAGATATAAAATACATATTATAAACCAAAATAAAACCTCTATAGCTTACTCTTAATATACTCATAATTCTCAACTTCCTGCCTGCAATGCACACATAACAGGTATAGCCAGGACTGCAGATGATATAAAGAATCCTTACAATGCCTCTTATTTTCGGCAAACAAGAGAATGCTTTGTTTTATCTGGAACACATAATAATACTTCTCTTTTTCAATGTGATAAAAGCTGTTTTTATTTAATACAAGATCCAGGCTATAGAGCCCTTCAGTTACCAAAATATCTCAAAATACTTCTACTATAGCTTAGTTCTGTCCAGCTCCAGTTCAGAGTTATACTGCATGTACAAGACAAAGGGATAGAGATACCAGCAGTTACTATAGGAGACAGATATAGAAGAGGGAAGTCTGTTCTCATAAACCTACTTCAGATAACCTATCAGTATCTCTTGCAATGTGTATCCAATATTATCATTCTGGAAACACTGTGATTCAAAATTACATTACATTGTCATACAAGGCAATTGCTATTAAATTAAAGAAGAACTCCCGGCAGAAATGTTATTAACCTTTGCGGTGGGGCTGCGTGTTTTTGCCTAGGGTAAAAAAAAAGTTATACTCACCTAATCCTCAGAGCCAGCCAGCTCTTAGACCGGTCCCTGGACCGCACACACAGCGGTCTAAGGTCCCTGAGTCATCACGTTCTATACACACGCTATAAGATGTGAGGACACAGAGGGACTGCACTGCATTGGTGCAGTGGAGGAGGAGACAGGCTGGAGGGAGCGCTTCTGGCTCCAAGAAACAGGTGAGTACAACCTTTTTTTTTCTTGACCCTAGGCAAAAAAGAGCAGTCAACCCTTGCACTACAAGGGTTAATAACATTTCTGCCCGTAGTTGTGTTGTTCTGTAAACCTGGCTATGGCTTGCCCATCCTAATCCCAAAGTCCCCATGTTTTTATTAACAACAGCACTAGTTTTAACCAGAATGTATATAAAAAAAACATGCTAATTGACTTCTGCCAAAATTAGCTCTAGTATTTGAGTGTACACTTGTAATTAAGAAATGAACTTGGAAACGTCCGTAGCATAGGAGACCTACAAAATATCATACCACTCTACACAGCTGGAGATAATAATAAATATTAAAGGATCAGTCCACCCAAAACTTGAACGCTTTGTTGGATGCTGGTGATTAAATTAATTGACAGTTTCTTACATCTCTATGGCTCATATATCTGCTCTTGATTTTCTCTGCCTCCTGAGAACATTACGAGGGGTTCCCACTCTCCCTTTTGGATTTTTAATTTATGGCATATTATATACTGTATATAAATCCCTGGTGGACTAGAACAGAGAAGGAAATTATGGCAGGCAATCTTACTGTTGGAATAACCAAGACATAAAAGAAGACAGGGGCCCTCCACAATCCACCTATACCTGATATATCACATTTGGACTTAACGAAATATCCACAATGATAATTTGCTCTATCACCTTGAAATGTTACTTTACCTGTTTTCGGCCATAGGATAGAATAGCTCCAGACAAATCCAGAAGAGTGCTGAGCTCAATCTTAAACTTTTTTCTCTTATATCGATGACTTCTATGACCACGCCTGTCCTGTGTCAAATTCCATGCCCGCATTGCCAAATCTTCAGAATAAAGAACCAGGGGCCCCTTTTTAGTGCTGTATGTTTTGTGTGTGGGAATCTCCCAATAGTTGTAGGAAGTATATTTTCCATTCAGGGATCTTCTGAGCTGAAAATCATGGTGGGATCTCCAGTTGAAGTAATCCTATATAATAGTAAATGTACATAGGTATGAGAACATGTGCATGACTAAGCAAAATAATGTTCACTTTGTTTAAATTGTATGTCATAGCAAATAAAAAAAAGTATTTAGTACACCTCTGAAATGCATGCGCACCTACCTGTTTTTTTTTATCCTTTTAAACATGCTGCAGGTACAGAAAAACAACTGATGATGTGCCAGGAATACAGTGTGGCCCTACCTTCTTCTTTGACATGATAACACAGTATATTTTTTTGCTCTGAATTCCAAAGCACATGGTGTCAGCCCTGCCTACTTCATTTCTGATGCATTACAAAGAACACATCTCTCCTTATCTCATCCCCTTTCTCATCTTCATCACCCCTATTTGTGCAAGGGTAGATAGCACAGCTCACAAGATTCCTGGCAAAATCAAATGGTATTTTTTGTTCTTTAGCAGACCAAAAGGGAGCAAATAAGAGAAGGTTATTGTTAGCGTTCACATACACTGGAAACGTGTTCAAAATCAAAGCCTAAAGTATAGATCATGTTGGTGAGGGGCTAACTGCTTGTGTCCTAGGGGATAATCCCACTTATGGCCTATAATAAATTATCAGTTACATAAGACGGGGGTTATGAAAATGATTATAGGTAACAGCTGTGATGGTTAAAGTGACACTAAACTCAGAAGTTATATCTTAAAAATGCATTCAAGTACCTTAACGGAGAATTATAAGGCGAGTGATTTTCACTCAGCCTCATAATCTGAGCCGACTTGTGACAATGAGACTGTCACAGGTCGGCTCAGTAGATCGGGAAGTGAGCGAACACATACCGGCGCTTGCTCACTTCTCGATCTATCCGCGCAGAGAGCCGTGACTGTTACTCACGGCTCCCTGCAGGGATTCCACCCCTCCCCGCTCCGATCCTCCAGCGCTGACTGGTGGAACGGACGGGGAGGGGGCGGGTATCTAGAGACAGAGCCAGACGTTACTCACGCAGTTGGGTGGATCCAGACAGAATTGTCGGGATCCGTTTTGGCTGCGGCGTCTCAGTATACCGCGAGCTGTAGCTTTGGGTGACGGGAGGATGCCAAATACTGAGCTTTGGGTGACCGGAGGACGCTAGTTTGTGTCCTCCCGTTACCCTTAGGAGAACTATGGGGGAAAGCCCTAACCCCATAGTTCTCCTTGAACTATTAACAAAAATGTGGCTTATTTGTGTATCACTCGGCTGTAGATCCTCAAATCATCTCTGAATGGGTACTGGCACTGCCCTTCCTTCTGGAAGGTGGCTACTTTTGTTCCCCATGATACCTGTGTGTGTTGTAAAGTAACCACCAAACTCGCTCCCGTGATAGACTACAATCTCACTAATTTGTATTGAAATTATAGTCCATCACGCGAGTGAACTTGGAGCGGTGGCTACTTTACAACAGAACTTTAAACAGATTTAAAAGAGAACTATGGCCCAACCATTTTTGACTGTAGTTCTCTTTAGGGTCACTGGAGACATTTACGAATGTCCTCATGTGACCCAAAACTCAGCATATAGCAGGCTATTGCCCACTCACTATATGCTGACAGCGCAAAGCCGAGGTGCATCCGGGACAGATCCCGACAATATTGTCCGAATCCACCCCGCCGTCTGATGGACAGCTGCCTCTGCCTGTCTAGAGGAAGCGTAATCTGTGCCCACCCCCTCCCACGACTGTCCCTTCAGTCAGTTCTGGTGTAATTTAGAGGCGAGGGGGAATCCCTGAAGAGAACAGTGACTGACAGAGCAATTGGCGGTATGTGATGCAATGTCACACATAGGCTCTAATTATGGGGATGAGCGTATTTCACTCTCCACATAATTCTCCTTTGACTCCTAAGTTTAGTGTCACTTTAAGCAGGCATTTAAAAAAAAAAAACCTGTATATAAAATGCTAACAAATTATTGTTTTTATGGGTCAAGGGTAACCAGCTCTATAACTGAGGCTCCAATGCAGTACTGGAAGATGTCATGATCCAATTAAATAGTGCCAATGATAGGGCATACAGAGGTGTGCCATACCCCAGACATAGCACGGCTACTAGAGACTGGGTGATAAGACAATGGCAGCTTCCAGTGCTGGATAGGAGCCTCATCTATGAGAGATACCAGCTTCATCTGAAGAGGTGCAAACGTAAACCAGAACTCCGGGCAAAAGTGTTCTTATTCCTGTAGTAGAGCTACCCCGCACTGGAAGGGTTAAGTGCTCATTTTTGTCTAGGTGCTAATAAAAGTAATATTCACCTGATCCTTGGAGCTGGCTTGCTCTTAAGGTGCCCATACACTTTACAACCATTGCAAGACCTTAGTCTTGTGATGGTTGTAAAGTAATTAAAAAAACGTACGATCTGCCCATCTTGGACAGGCAGATCGTACTCTCGATCATCGCAAGCCCGCCCCCCTGAGGGGCGGGCTTCCGATGACCGCAATGCTGAACGGGCAGTGTGCGCGTGCACACACCGGCCCGTTCGGCATTTGTCTCCCGAGCACCGTTCTAACCAGCCGAAAATCGTACGATTTTCGGCTGGTTTTCTAGCGTGCGTAGAAACGGTCGCACGTCTTCGTTCACACTGCACGATTCTCGTACGATCGCGGGATTTCCCGCAATTCTCGTACGAGAATCGAGCAGTGTATGGGCACCTTTAGATCGCTCCCTGGAGCTTCTCTCTCCCTAAGCAGCAGTGGTCTAAGGATCCAGGAGTCATCATGTTCTATACACAGTTTATAGGACGTGAGGATGCCAGGGGACGTACCATCGCTGCAGTGGAGGAGAAGACGGGCTTCAGGAACAGGAGTAGCAGCCAGCTGGCTCTGCAATTCAGGTGAGAATAGAATCTAGACAAAAATGAGCATGTAACCCTTGCAGTGCAATATTTATGCCTGGAGTTCTGCTTTAATAGTGCTCTAAGACTTCAGCACAGGCAGGAACAGTCATGTTCTATGGCAAATGAAGAATATCATGCGCAAACACAGTACAAATTAGGACTGCAACACACGTCTACAGACACAAGAATGCTCCTCCATTTATTCCATGAAAATTCTCAGGCGAAGTTTTTTGTTACACAGTGCACATTATAAGACATACCATCTCTGTTTAAATATGTCTGTCAAGGTTCTCATTCATCCAGGTCATGGTATGTCTGTAAAAAATAAGTCAAGGCAACTGGACTTGCTGTATTTCTAAAATACAGCAAATCCAGTTGCCTTGAATTATTTTTTAGAGACATCTCTGTTTAACATTGAAAGAACTCTGGTGTACAAACATAGAGGTGTTTTCATATCACAGTAAAACTACTATATATAAACTAACTGCTTCAAGTTCAAGCATTGCACGCTGGTAACACGATTACTTTACAGGATGTGACATTTGCAAATATTTAAACCTTTTGGCTCATAACTATCCCTGGGATCAAAGCAAAACATGGAGGAGCTGGCTTAATGACCATCAAAATTCATAGCAGCTGTGCTCAGGTCCGTTCCAACACCTGATATGTGACACATTTAAGCTAATATCACACGTCCACATGACCCTTTCAGCTTTGTATAGTACACTCTATGTCCGTTGCTGGCACAAACAGAAAAAGAAATGTACATATAAAACCCACTTAGCCTATAAATTATAAGGCACCCCTAATATAAACATAATACAGCGAAAAGATGTCTATTACACTGGGTTTTCATTCCTGGTAACAATAAAAAATGTAGGCGCTAGTCCATTTGGCTTTTTTTTTTATAAATACAGACTGGAAACACGTGATGGATTATTTTCTAACCTGGAAGAAATCATTAACATAATTGCAAATCTGAATTATCTGCAGTGAACACCATTACATAAAGAAGTTGGAAAGTCCCAGCATATACTATCCTGTTATAACATCAGCATTGTAATAGGATTACATAGAATAGCTGTTTTTTTTATAATGCAATCAAAGCTTACTTGAAAAAAATTGCTTCTATGTAGTGAGTGCTGCCTTCTGTCTGCCCATCACTTTCACCAACTTCCTGGATCCCCAGTGTGCTTTGTGTCTCTTTCCCTGCTGCTTGATGTGATGCAATCTTTATTTCTAAACACTACATATCCCATCATACATTGCTTCCAGGAAACAATGATAATGTTACATTGTTCAGATGTTTAGTTGTAGTTCAGAAGGTAGGCTCTGTGTGAGATGTGGCACATGAAAGTGCATATTCACAGGGCTGCTTGAAATTGTGTCAGTGAATTGAAGAAGTACATCCTATGGGAATCTTCAATAAGTAAGTTTACAAACTTCTAGATCAATATGGTTATAAAGAGTGGGATAGAACTGTAGTGCACCCCTTATGGAGCAGCACACAGTAATAAAGAATTGGGTTTGCCCGTGTCCCCTCTATGATGAACCTCACATCACACCAGCACACCCAGAGATGGCTCGAACACCACAATCCCAGAGTTGGCTGTCATGTCACCTCGACCGACAAAAGCGATGTCCAGACTGTAAACATGATGCTGAGAACTTTTAGGCCTTGTTCACACCAAGCACGGAGCAGATCCAGACCAGAGCAGGTGCAGACCGGATCAAAACTGCGTCCAATGTATTCCTATGGTATTTTGACCTCCAGTTCACATCGCAGCGTGCGGATCCAGACCAAAACTGCGGCAAGCCCTATTTTACCTGCTCTGGAACACATCAAAAACGCATCAAAAACGCATGCAAGTGCCTGAAAGCCCATGTTAAACTTTAAAAAAGACAAAAAACATTTTTTTTTTAACCAAAACCGGCCCTAAACGCATCAAAAACGCGGCACAACCCACTGCACTGCGTGTGCAGAAACCTGACCGGATCTGGTCTGCATTTGGTGTGAACAAGGCCTTATTGATGACCTTCAGGGAGAGAGGTTGAGGGTTAGGATCGTCCAGGCTGATGTAGACTCCTTTACGTGGCAGGGTGTAGTAGCTGTCTCCATTCACAGCATGAAGAACACCTGGCACAGCAGCACTTGAGGTAGAA